GCATCCAGACTACCGCGCTGAGCCGACAAACAGCTGATCGGCTCAGCGCGGCAGCCATGTAAATTTAAATGAAGTGGCGATTATTTAAATCGCCGCTTCATTTTCCTATGCCTGGTAGCCTCATCTACATGCCTCTGTTGCCAGAGGCATGTAGTCTAGACGTAGCCTAAGAGTGTGAGGGCTGGTCTGGAGTTTAGGTGCAGTAATCTTTTGGTCTTGATGACTGCTCAATCAAAAATACGGCCATTAATGTCTGACATGGATGTTTTATAAAAGTAATGTTCCACTAATTTGACTTTGAAACCAGTTCTCATAAAACTAAAGGTCAGAACCATTTATTCAGTACAGTACTATCATCACTTGCATTTTTTTTTTTTTGATGAATTAGGAGTCATCTCAAATCCTCTGTTACTACTCTCAAAATAGTGGTCCACAGCCAAGCTTTTAACAGATTAGAATTTGAATCTCAAAACAGTTAGATCTACTCTGCATTCTGATAAACTTAGTTCATACTTTTTTTATATTTAATTTGGAGATTTTTATTATCAATTTACTTTTTTGCACACCTCACTTTTTCATCAATAGTAGCTATAAAATAAAATCTCTTCAGTGTAACATTAAAATTTATATACAGCAGAAAATATGGTCAATAGAAAAGCTATACCAAAACCATTATTGTATTCCATCTTATACCCCACAGGAATCCTAGAATACTAGACCTGGAAGGGACCTCAAGAGGTCATCAAGTCCAGACCTCTGCCCTCATGGCAGGACCAAGCACCAAATAGCCAAATTAAAATGCACTTACAATTTTTCTCCAGTATTTCTTGCCTTGATCAATGATGAACCCACTTCCCTCCTTTATTCTCTCTTCTCTCAACCATCCATGTCCTCTATAATTATTATAAAATACCATTGTAAGAGTTATGAGAGAATGATTTCAGGAAACCCACGCTCCTCCCTCTCACAAAACACTCAAGACTTTTTAGAGTGAATTCTGCTTGTGGAATCAGTATAGTAAGGTGCTGTTACAATCCAATTTTGTGAATTTGAATTTTAGGGTGGGTGGTGGTTTGGTTTTTGCTCAGAATAGAAAGGGTGTTACAGTTTAAACAAAAAAAAAATCATTCTTCATTCTGACCAACAAAGATTTCAAAGCACTGTGATAGCTCGCAATCAAATTAGTATTCAGCATTACTTGCAGAAGGATGCTAGTCATTATTTAAATGCATCTGCAGGAACATTTATATACAAATACCTTCAAGCATTCCCTCTCATGTATTTACCACGTCAGAACTATCCTGATGCACCTTATGAAAAACATATATTAATTTTCCAAGCTTAAGTTCATAGAATAGGCTAATTTCTGTAAAGCAAGTCTAATTATATATAGGCTGTGTCTACATTGGTGTGATCTTGCGCAAAAGCAGTCGCGTTTGCGCAAAAACTTGCTGCCTGTCTACACTGGCTGCGGGTTGTTGCGCAAGAACGCTGATGTTCTAATGTATGAAATCAGTGCTTCTTCTGCAAGAACTCTGATGCTCCCGCTCAGGAATAAGCCCTCTTACGCGAGAGGCCAGTGTAGACAGGTAACATGAATTTCTTGCGCAAGAAAGCCCTATGGTTAAAATGGCCATCCGAGCTTTCTTGCGCAAGAGAGTGTCTACACTGGCATGGATGCTCTTGCGCAAAAGCATATCTCTTGCGCAAAGGCACATGCCAGTATAGACGCTCTCTGCTGGAAGAGTTTTTGCACAAGAACCCTTCCGCAAAAGAGTTCTTGCGCAAAATCATGCCAGTGTAGACGTAGCCATATTGATTTTAAAACTTCTTGACTTTTAGCTTCTATAATTTAATATTCATCCCTGAGTTTCTTCATGCTTGGTAACTTGCTAATTTAGTCTGAGTATTTTATTTAAAATCAGAAATAGAACTATTAGCAATGCTTTGATTCTTTGTTGCTTCCCTTTTAGCCCCTGACTTTTAATGGAGCACCATTTTATTTTATTTTTACCTCTTTTACATGTTACTTTTTTTTTTTTCTTTTAAGGAAACACTGAAGAAGCTGGAAGGCTCTTGGGCAGCAAGAACGTCCGTGTCAATTGCTTGGATGAGGTACTTTTAATTTAGAAGTTTTGTTGTATCTTCTTAGTGAGTCTCTCAAGAAGTATTAGGTTGAATAGCTATCGAGAGGTCTGCAGGTTTCTTAGGAGCTAAATAACTATTATATAGCACATAGGAACTCAGAAGACTTCTGATTAGCTTTTTAACTTGCATTAGTAAGCCACTAAACTCTTCTTAATCTGTAAAAGTATTTCAGAGGATTAATATCTTTAAGTTTGGATATGATCTGTTCACTCTCAAATTCTGAACAGGGTTTTTTGACAGGTGAAATGGTATCATATGAGGCCCACAAAGAGTTTAGAATCTGCATTTCCTATTGAAGTTTTTCCAAATGTTAATTCTGAACAAATTCATGCGATCACAGGTTATCTCTGGCTCTTCAAGCAAACTGCATTACTGGATAATGGTGCCATCAAAACAAAGGTTCTTTGAGCCACAGAAAGCATGCTGGTTGGACTGTGACACTGACTAGCTCAGAGTGGATACAGCCCCCTTTAGTAACTGGGAGGAAGGAGAAAATCTCAAGAACGAACACAGACTAATCAGTATACAACATGTTAGTCTAGGTTTACCATACATTTGGGTTTTCCCAGACACATCCACTTTTTGAGCTTCTTTTCCCTGTCCAGGCAGATTCTTCAAATAACAGGAAGTGTCCCAAGTTATTTGCAGAGCAGACAAGTTGCAGCTCAGAAAGAGCCCGCATTGGTCCTTCCCCTCCATCTGTAGCTGATTGGTCCACTCCTGGGCAAGCCATAGTTGCCAGATCCCACCCTTCCCAGGCCCTAGCTTTCAGTCTTGGAGAAGGAGTTCCTCAGGGAGCTTCTAAGGGACGACTGTTGCTGCATCTTGAACTTGCACCAGCCACCTTACTACCTTCCTTCCGATACCCCATTTAGTGCCCCCTCTGCCCTCAGCTCCTCCCCCTACCACTCTAGAAATGTTCTCCTTTTGGGAAACTAAAATATAGTAACCCTCTGTCAGTGTTTCTTAGAAATCACACCCTGCAGAGTACATTATCTCTAGGCATTGAGTAAGCCAAAGATATGCTCCCCCTCCCCCAATAAGCCTAAAAACTATACTATCGTTTTAAGCAGATATCTGCTCCTACTATGCAGCATGTTAGTTCTTATCGATATTTGGTCCAATGCATTTTGGAGGGATGGAGTCAAGGTTTCTGGATGCTTTCTCAAGAAATGATTGTATGCTCACTGTTAGACACTGTCCCCCAGACAGCATTTTTCCTTTCTGTGTCTGTACCAGAAGAGAGCAACAAGCTAAACAATGCACTAAACTAACCACATGATTAGATCATTTCAGACTTGTCAACTTTCCTCATGCAGGGTTAGCTGCATCCACACAGCTGTCTAAACTCCATTACCTAGATCCATTACAGAATTGAGAGGGTCCCTTTCAGACATTTTCCATTAAAAACAGTGACTCACTAAAATATGTTCCTGTCGTTTCTCCAGAATTAGGATGGTGTACACTGCCATACCTAGTGTTTTCAATTAGAAAAAGTGTTTGTAATTTTCATTCACTTCTCTGTCAGGGTCAGGTTACAGTCCTCAAAATAAGTCATCATGGTTCCTAAGTTCTATGGTTCTTCTGGTTACTCCAGAACAGTGGTTCCCAACACGGTGCCCGCAGGCACCATGGCACCCACAGGGGCATTTGTGTGCGTCCACCAAGTGCTCGGGGCTAGCCCCGCCCCAGGTGCCTGCGCGGTGCCAGAGTGCACGGGGAGCGCCAGCCCCGGGAGTGTGGCGAATTGGCCGCCAGCACCCCGGGTGCGCGGCGCATGGGGAGCGCCGGCCCCAGGCACATGGCGAATTGGCATCCCTGCCCCCGGGTGCGTGGCTATGTGAGGGGGGTGCTGGCTTTGGGTGCGCGGCTATGGGGGGTACTGGCCCCAGGCTTGCTGCAAATGGGCGGCCCCACCCGTGGCCACACGGCGCATAGGGTTGCTGGCCCCAGGCACGTGGCTCATGGCGGCCCCGCACCCAGGTGCGCGAGTGTCCCTGCCCTCTGGCGCCTGGCAGGCTAACGGCCGTGCCCCCCTGGCGCCCGGCAGCTTCAAATGGTTGGGGACCACTACTCCAGAAGAATGTGCAGTGGGAATGGACTGAGCAACACATGGAAGCAGTGTCACAGCTGAAACAAGCCATTGTTATGGCTCCGGTGTTGATCACTCCAGTTCCTGAATTATCTTTTCACCTGGAGGTGGCAGTGAGTGTAAATATGTTGGCAGCCGTTATTTCACAGAAGAGGCATGGGAAAATCAGACCTATTGCCTATGCTTCGCAGGTGCTTTCTCCGGTAGAAATCATATATGACAACTGTGAGAAATACCTGCTGGCCACAAGTTGGGCTATTCAACATTTCACCTTCATAATTGGCCTCTGTCCAATCATATTCCACTCCTCTCACACACCTCCAATTCCTACTGTCAGACTCAGTTAAAGATGGACAGGTTTCCAATGCCGATCTAGCAAGGAAAAGACATTTCAGTGAAATCTATCAGAAGACCTCACATTTATCCAAATGTAGAGGAACAGTGGAGGGGATTAGGAGAGGAGAAATGGAAAGGAAGTGAGAAATCTTTGTCCCCCTCACTAGGGAAAAGAAGTCCTTTTAAGGATACCACTTCTTCATTGACAGGTCGAGTTTTTATGACCATGGTACTCCATATTCACGTTTTGGGATTTATGCCATTACTCCCGCAGGCCAAGGAGAACCCTGGAAGAAAACACATTCATGCATCCCTAATTTGGCTCAGTATGCTGAGTTAGCTGCAGTGGATTGCATGCTGGAACAGTGTGTGGGTACACATACTTGACTGGATGGTAATATTGGGACATCTTTTGAATATGCATGAATAAAACCACCTGCTACTGCCTTTAACCTGGTCCTGGATATGGAAAAAGTAGTTTGGCAGTTAACTGCAAGAAAGCCTGCTTCCTTAATTCAAAAGGACGGTTAGCTGGGTCTGGCAGAATCTGGTCTTATTTAGGTATCACAAGCTCATGAGGAACTGAGTCACACACATCCATCTGTGTACTGACCCAACTGATGATTTCACCATAGGGTCTGTCATAATTTCTAAAAAGAAATATTAGGAACAAATAATTTCTAGAACATACATTAATCCTTTCTTATCCCACTATACTACTGCTAAAGCCAACTCACACAGGGCAAATTAAATCCTGTAGGACTTGCATTACTAGCATTCCTACTAATTCCTACAGATTAAGATAGAGTGGAGAAGTATACAACAGTATAGCTACATAGTTGTAGCTGCATCAGTACAAATCCCTAATTCAGACACATTGAACCATCTTACTCTTTCTTTTTACTACATTAGTGAGGTGGGTTTACAGAAGTATTAGAACCAGTAAACTGTGCTGCTGTAGTTACATTGGTGTAGTTCTAAGGAAAAACCTTCAGCTACTGGGTGAACCCTTCACTCATATTTTTGGTATTGTGAATATATGGTAAGTGGTAGGAAGGTGGGGTAATATAGTTACAGCTTCATCAATTATAATTAATAATTGACAGCATGATTTTCACAGTTGGGTGTCTGTACGTTTTGATAATTGAGACACTGAAAGAAGCCTGAACTAAATATTCTTACTCCCACCTGTATGCAGTAGAAAATACGTTCATTTGCTAACTTAAGAAGCTGGCAACTTTCCTAAATTTATAGGATATAATCTGTCTTTAACATTAAGTACATAGAGATCTTTGGCAAATGGGGATAAGTATTTTGTTTTTGGAAGACTAAATTGCATTGCAATAGTACAAAATAAAAGAAATGCAAATAAACCAATGTAATGAATGAAATTCACTATACCTACAATTATAGTCCTTTTATCCAACATTTTGCTTTGGTTTTTTTTGCTTTTGTTAATGCACATGTCATATGAGGCATTGCACTAGGGCATGTAATTATTAGGTTGGAATCTTGATGAGTTCAAAGATGTATGAATGCAATTATCACGTGTGTATATTTCTTTCTTGATTCTTCTTTCATTAGCATGGCATGACCCCTTTGATGCATGCAGTATACAAAGCAAAAATTGACATGTGCAGGTTGCTCTTGCGACATGGAGCTGATGTTAACTGCAATGAACATGAGCATGGATATACTGCCTTGATGTTTGCCGGACTCTCAGGTAAACTCTTTCTAAGGTATTTTCAGATTTTTATAATAGTGTTATCTGGACATGGACAAGAGGCCTATGAACAAGTTGTATTAGTTCATCATCAGGATATTGCCCTAGGAATAATAAAAATATTCTTTTAGTTAAGTAATGGCAATACATATGGGTCTGTGTAACTGCAGAAGTACTGGTACAACCAGGTATGTAGAAAAGATGCTGATAACCACGGGGTCTCAAGCTCCCAGACCACAGGCTGTCCCCAGTTGGAGCAATTGTGCAATCTAGGCTGGGACTCCCAGCAGGCCAGGGAGGAGAGGCTGTCCATTATTGACCTTCAAGCCCCACCCCTTCCTGCCAACATGGCTTTGGGGATTACCGGGATTGGCGGGACTGGCAGTGCACAGAAGCAGTAGTTACACTCCCTGTAGCGGCGGGAAGCAGAGTGCAGCGAAACGAGTGTACTCACTCGGTGCGCTCCTCTGCTCTCGTAGCTCCTGTCGCTGCAGGAAATGCAGGGAAGCACAATCACCACTACCGTGCAGAGCCAGCCCCTCTATCCCCCCAGTGATCTCCAAAGCCATATCCTCAGGAGGGGAGAGGGTGGAGCAGTGGCAGGAAGGGGAAGGGCTTGAGGGCTGGTAATAGACAGGCCACGCACCTGGAGTCCTGGGCCAGATTATGCACTCATTCCAGCTGGGGATGGATTGTGGGTCAGGAGTTTGAGACCCCTGATTCTGACTAATTTTGTCCCATATTAAGTTGATTTGATCAGCTATTTGAGGCAT